ACTTAGGTAACCTACCGATTGCGATGGTTTATACCATCACTCGGGCTAGAACCCCCTCCTCAAGCACGCCTATGCCCTTAAGTGGAGTCTATTCACTGAATGGTGCGTCTTTCGCAGAGAAGATCCCCGAAATTTGCCAGATCAGCATTGTGCTTTCTTTACTCCAAGAGAAGCTGGAGAGCAGGCTGTCGCCCTCCACACTCAAGGTTACGTGGCTGCCATCTCCGCTCTCATGACACAGTGGCTGGCAGCAACGTCAGAACGCATAACCTCCTCATCCGTTTCCTCAGAGGCGCTAGGCAAATTAATCCGCCCCCTTCTCATGCCCTCTTAGGATCTCGCCCTCGTTCTCACGAGCCTGCGTCAGATCCCTTCGATCCTCGACTCAGTATCTTCAAGATTTCTGTCCCTAAAGATAGCTCTGCTGGTCGCGTTGATATGGATTTAGAGGGTCGGGGACCTGGAGGCATTTTTCAGTCAGTGACTCATGCCTGTAATTCGGGCTGGCTTACTCTCACGTTCCTGAGACCCCACCCGGGATATGTGCCAAAGGTTCCTACCTCACCGTTTTAATACCAGGTAGTGAGCCTGCAAGCGCTGCCCCCGGAGGAGGCAGACCCAGCCCCTTTCATACTTTTCCAGTTTGCACTTTGCGTATTTATCTGGACGGCACTCAGAGATCATCTGAGCAGCTCTTCGTCTGCTATGGCGGTCGGCAGCAGGTAAGTGCTGCATCAAAACAGAGGTTGGCCCAATGGATAGTGGGTGCCATCTTTCTCTCTTATCAGAGCCAGGGCGAGCTGTGTCCCCCAAGAGCGTGCGCACTCCACTCTGAGCATTACATCCTCTTGGGCGCGTGCACGCGGCGCCTCTCTAACAGACATCTGTAGAGCTGTGGGCTGGGCGACACCTAATACATTTGCAAGGTTTTACAATCTGCGAGTGGAGCCAGTTTTCTCAAGGGTATTAGGTAACCCTTGGTGATTGAGGAAACAACTCGGTTAAGGTGTTGAAGCACGCTTTCTGCGCCATTCTCCCTAACACGAAGATACGTGTGCTTTTTTATCTGTCAGTAAAGTTTCCCGTTAGGTGAGCCCTGCAGATTCCTCCGAGACCCCCAGCACTGACTTAGCGGAGAAGTCACTTGTTGGCCCACTACAGTGTAGGTCTGCCCGCTGATTAGCCCGCGTTTTGGGTATAGGTGCCCGCTACGCGTGATCCCCACTAGGCGATCCCATATGCTTATTTAGCCATGGTGCAGTCCCCCCTTTCGGGCTAACCTGTGTCTTCCCTCTCCGCTAACCATCTTATTATATGCGTACTCCCCCGTCTTAGGGCTAGTCCATATATTTTGCCATCATATCTCCCCATTGGGTAGCAGGTGGCCTCCGCAGCGTCCTCCCTATCGGGATTGCACGCTTTCCCAACGTACTGTCGTATTTTCCTAGATTTATCTAGACGCTTGTGACTCCCAAAAAATATATCTAAATCCGTAAAACTTCTTTAAAATGGGATAGTTAAGGGCCAGGGATCATGTTGGAAGACCACGCCTTCTTTTTGATGCAGGAGCGCTCACGCTATGCCTGGCTATCCTCTCATCGGAGGCGAAGGTAAGGTGCAGTCATTAAGGGATTTTCCAGACATTTACCCATTTCGTGTATTAATAAATAAATCCACTGATAGCATTGAAGTTCCCCATCCGAAGGGGAACGCTCTGGTTACTAAAGTAACCCTCGTTTCCCGAGGATGGGAACGGAAATGGTATATAGCATCGCCATAATGATTGTTCCTTAGCTGTAAGTGTTAGTCTCTTCATGACTAAGGATGGTGTTTCCTTGCTTTCCCTGTCCTTATATGCGGAGCTAATTGGCAATAAGTTCCAGGTGCGCAAGCTTTCGCTGCCAACTCATTTGGCATTTCATTGGCCCATTATATACTCTTTCAGACAATTGGCTTTCTAAAACGAAATCCCCATTTCGTGGATTAATAAATAAATCCACTAATAGCATTTTCATTCCCCTCCTTGGGGGAACGAGGGTTACTTTAGTAACCAGAGCGATTTATTGACTAGCCTAAAATATAACAACAAACGTAAAAAACATGACAACAAACTTAGAACAAATGTGGAAGAGAAAACAAGAGAGGAAATAAAGAGTATAGAAGAATGGCAAATCTACCGCAGTTACACACAACTATTAGGTAGCACCAAGATTACAAAAATACTTTTTTAATAAGGGGCACAGCTTTAACGCATAACTAAATACCTGGATAGTCTTTCTCTCTTTGTGAATATTTTTCTGATGTGTTGTAGGATAGAGTATTATAGGACGTCCTTTCTTGGTTAATGTAGCTTGCTACGCAGATCGGAGGATATGCGAGGCCCAAACTTCAAACTGTATTTACTTTGCTGGAAAAATAAGAAAATTATGGACTCAAGTGAGGCACGTGAGTACAGAAATGCAGTTTGCCCGTTCAAGGGGGGCACTTCTGAAGAGCTTCTTTAGGAGATCTTTTCTGCCCAGATCTGTGTGCGCAGATTGGTTTTAACTGTTGGTCAAGTCACACATCTTCTACTGACTGACCTATGGTTTCATGGCAAAGTTTGAGTGGGAGATTTTCTTTGTCTCTGGACCGCTCCTATGCATAATGAGGGACCTTCCTCAACACACAGATTGACATTAACTATGAGCATTAAATAATGCAAACTGTACAAGTTATTATCATGCATTCAGCATTATGTGTTGTAAAATAGCAGGAGAAACATAATGATACTAAACACGAAATTCTAAACACACATTAGCTAGCATCTAGGCATATCTATACTGTCTGTATAAGGCTCAAAAGGGACTATAAAAACATGCATATACTGTTTTAACTGCTTTCGTCGTAGGGCAGAGTATATAGATTGTCAACACACATTACATATCCTTTGGAGTGAGTTTAAGTCCTAATAGTTCTTTCCTTAGAATCTGGAGGGGACTTTGGAATGTGATTGGGTATTTGGGTATTTGAATTTACTCCATTTTCCCATCTGCAATAGAGGTTAAACAGTGGCAATGAGTCCCCAGCGTGCAATAAGCATCTCGGGGTATCGAGGTGTCATGCACAGCGACCTTTGCTCCAGACTATCTGGAGCTGAACGACAAACATTTTTAAAGGTTACACAGTTTTGTACAGACTATGATTTCCATCATACAATTCAAGTCCTAATTTTCCCCAAGCCAATGGGGCTGTGGAGATAGCAGTTCAAACTGCAAAATGGATTATCTGCCAACCCAATCCTCACTTAGCATTGATATGTTATCGTGCGACTCCTGTCATAGCAACTGAACTTAGCCCTGCAAAATTAATGACTGGTCAGCAAATTAGAACCAAACTGCCAATGCTTGAGGAAAAATATCAACCTCAACCCAATGATTTTAAAGCAGTGGAGAGGAAGAAAAAAGCTGCAAAGGAGTCTTACAATTGCTTTTATGACCTGAAACACTCAGCTCGCGCACTGCCTGAGTTACATGCTGGTCAGCAGGTTCTTCTTAGGCTGAACAGTTAAAGACACTGGAAAAAAACAGTGGTTGTGCTGAACAAAACATCAGAGCCAAGATCATACATGGTGCAAACTCAAAAAGGAACTGTCTTGCGTAGGAACAGGAAGCATTTGCAAGCAATGCCATCGCAACCAAATCCTATGGTCCATGCAGAATCACAAGAAAGAAAAAGATCCAGCTGTCTGGGACTAAACATTCAAAAACTCACGCAGTTACGACTTCCAGTAGAAGAGTGGTGAAAATGCCCAAACATTACCTACACTAAATGGACTGTTTCGGTTTTTAGAAGGGGATTAGGATTTGAGTTAATTGAAAAAAAACAATATCATTACCTGATGTTGCATTTTAATTTGGTTATGCTGTTAAACATAAACCGATGTTTGGGTGATTGTGTTAAAAGTGGAAAACATAATGTTCGTTTCTAAAGAGGGAAGATGTGGGAAACCAGTTTATTATGTTGACCAATCATATTGTACCCGTTAGGTGCAGCCCTACCCCGTTGGGGTCAAAAGAGGTGAACCCAGGAAGTGAATAAGAGAGTTCTGAAAGTGTGCAGTTCATGCAATCTGTTTAATAAAAGCAATCTGTGATACGAATGAAGAGTTTTCTCTCATGACAGATACAGTAATTCTCTTATAGGGTTATATAAGATAATTATCTTGTAAATTAATCTTGGTGAACTATGCATATAGCTCATCTTTGTCCATTCTAACTTGTTTTGTGTTCACAAGCGATTCGCTCTGGTAAAATATGTCACTGACCCTGAAAAACAGGTAAAATCAGAAGGTGAACAGGAGGGTGCAACACAGACCACAGACCCTAGTATGAAACTAGGTATAACTGAAAAGTCAAGCAATTCAATTCAGCTTTATTTGTATAGCACTTTTACAATGTAGATTGTGTCAAAGCAGCTACACATAAATGGTCATAGTAACTGGGTCAGGGTAGTTCAGTTTTTAGTGTTTAAGTTCAGTTCAGTTTAGCTCAGGTCAGTGTGGTTTAAAATCATTACTGAGAGTCCAAACACTGAAGAGCAAATTCATCGATATGTAGCTCTACCGATCCTGAACCATGCAAGCCAGTGGCGACAGCAAAGAGAGAAAAAAAAAACTTCACTGATAGGAGAGTGAAGAAAAAAAACCTTGAGAGAAACCAGACTCAGTTCGGCACGACCATTTTAATTTCTCCACTTACCAAAAGTCTTGTGCAGAGGTGCAGTCTCAGCGGTGGAGGGTGGAAGCTGGCCTCAGCGAAGACTTGTCTGTGCCTGGAGTGTCACTGGAATCTGTCTCATGCTCTCCACTCCCCCAAGCATGAGCATTATGAGTAAACAATGCATTTTGTAACACTTTCCTGAGAAAGGCTTTGAATATGGACCAGTGAAATCAGAAGCCTAGATTCGTCTGCAGAGAACCAGGGTGTCACAACAATAATGAACCACTCACACAACGAATAAGGTTTTTAACTGATTGTATTGTCTTGTATTCAAGTGTTAAATCTCAATTTATCAACAAATAAATCATAAGAAACAAAAATAAAATTGTCACAAGGTACAAAAATATTCAATATCAAATAATAAAATAATGTTTCACAAATGTTTCTCTTTTGATTTCAGGTTTCAAATCCAGAACTTACTCAACAGGTAAGTATATTTTAGGTAAGTATAACCACCTTTACTCAATACTGTTGATGTAATATAACTAAAATAATCCTATGTTTTCACAGGTTTCACTTTCAACTCTTTTCAATTTCTCAGAAAAAAATTAATAAACTTCACTCTTTATCAGTAAAACAAATTTCCCTTGTAAGTAAAGAATTCAATCTTGATTAAATAAAATATTAAAGAAGTTATTTTCTGAATTAATTTCTCAATTTTGTGTATGTATTCTACTTCTCTAATCTGTGCGTTTAAAAAAAAAACTAATAAACAAACCCAAACCTATTACCACTTGGTATATCAACAATAAATGAAATAACGAACCTATAAAACAGTTCACTTGTAATCACTTCACAGTTCCCTCTTTTCTTTCAATAAATTCAGTTTCTTAAAAGTCTTTTCTTTTCCTGCAAAAAACAGTCAGTATGTGTATATTCACCTTTTTAGTGAATATAAAATATCTCAAGGAGCAACAACGAAATGTCTGTCACTCAGTTTCTCCTCTGTGAGTGAATCCTTTTCCCAAAAGAAATCATTGAACGACTGTGTGTGCTTGTAGTTCAGTTTCCTACCGTCCTGATCGGCAACAAGTATCAGTTTCACACAATGACAATTTGAAGTTCGGTTCGTATGGCTCGCCAGTCCCAACCCCTTTAGCGAACACAGGAGTTAGAACGAATCCAGAATCCAATAAGCTCCAATCCCAATCCAGCATCAAATCAACAGATCACACAGGAGCACAACGATGGCACCAATCCAGGTAAAGGAGGAAAAATAAAACAAACAAACAACAACAAAAAAAACCTGACCTTGAAAACAAGGTCACAAAATCATCATTAATATAAATTTCATAACACACATGTGGTATCTATTACAGCATCAAAATAGGAATTACATTTCACATATAAAACCATATTCACATTTTCTTATAATATCATTAAGAATTAAATGAACTTATAATACATATTCACTTACATTTGACTTACAATGAGCACTATTTCTAATACATTTACATTTATTAACTAATAAATGAAACAAAAGTTAACTCACCAAAACCAGATGAACTTTTAATCTTTTTAATGCGAAGAAATTCTTCACTCAATCCTTTTGCTTATTCTCTTTTTCAGCATTTAACTTTAATCGCGTTTCCTTTCAGACGATCTCCTAATGGAGCTAGTTACACATTAACCAGGCTGCTTGTAATCAGCTCCGTCACGATCATTAACTAATTAAACTATATTTAACTCACATAAACGGTTTCTTCTAGCATCACTTCCTTCTATATTGTCTTTAGACACATATAATTCAACATTAAATCAAAAAATCTCTTATTTTCCAGTTCAATACAACTTAATGTAGAGAGAGAATCTAAATCTGCGTCTGCTCTCGTCTGCTCCGCCGATGCGAGTGCACGCGAAATCTACCCGCGTCAGTGATCGGAACCGGAAAGACGTCACATGATATTCTAAACTCTTTTAGATCGTTTTTACAGGTAAAAAAATATTTTAATGTATTCTAATTGGCTATAAAGGTAATTTGCAAAACAGAAAGAGAAAAACTATAAGTTCAGCATATTTAATTAATTAATTCTAATCCTGTTTCTGTTGGTAACCTGGGTTACACCCTCCCCCTTTGATCTTATGCACGTCCTCGGGCATGCATTTGGTTGTGTTGTCAGCACTGACATGGGATCACCTGGTACCAAGACACACTCATCACAGAATACTTCTGACTGTTCTTCGGACTGAGCAAAAGCATTACTTAATCCTTGCAATAAGGACTGAACTACTGAAATTAGGGGATTACCTATTTGAGGATAGTGAAACATTTTTGGGGGTCTGATTTGTCTTGAGGAGCGTCTAAGTCCCTCATCCTGTGGTTTCTCCTCATTCTCAAGGATCAGTTCAGTTCTGGCCTCATTTTCCTCATCCTGAACATCTCTCAGTTCTTCAACAGAATTCAACAATTCATCCTCTTCAGACACTACTACAGTGTCAGCTACTTGATGTTCTCCAGGTCCATCATTTGTACAATCAAATCTCGCTTCATTCTGCACAGGTAAGTTCTCATTTACTTTACACATCTGCTCATTTTCATCAATAATCTCAAGCTTTTTTTCTTTCAGGTAATCAACGTTTGTCTGGCTGGTATCCAATACTTCAATCTCCTCTGCAACTGGAGGGTTTTCAGACTGAAGAAAAGAGCTTTCAGGTAGGATGTAACGTGTAACAACTTCCAATGATTCTCTGGGCATGAAGTGATATGAAGACTCATTCTCAGAACTTTCCTCATCGTCTAGATTTTCTGTCTCATCAACATGCCTTGTGGCAGACTGTGACCTCGTTCGACATTTTTTATGCACTTTAGGTGAGTTAGACGCATCTACTTCAGCAGGTAAGAATCCGCAAGGTAAGAGCAAATCACGGTGAAGAGTACGAACAGGACTATTCTTCCCTTCAGGACAGACAGTATACACAGGGACATCTTGTGCTTTCTTTATCACTATGTAAACATTGGATTCCCATTTGTCTGCCAGTTTCTGTTTACCTCTTAACCGGACATTTCTGACTAAGACTCTATCACCTACTTCCAAGTTGGAGGCAATCACATTTTTGTCAAATCTCTTTTTATTTCGTTCTGCTACTCTATTGCTGTTTTCCAAAGCCAATTTGTAACTTTCTTCAAGTTTTTGCTTTAAAGAGGTTACATATTTGGAATGAGATTGATATGACTCATCATTCAAAATCCCAAAAGCAATGTCTAGAGGCAAACGAGGCTGCCTTCCAAACATCAGCTCATAAGGTGAGTAACCTGTAACATCATTTTTGGTGCAGTTATATGCGTGCACTAATGGTTTCACGTACTCCCTCCAGTGAGCTTTTTGTTTGTTCTCTAGGGTACCCAGCATCTGCAGTAGAGTTCTATTAAAACGCTCGACTGGGTTTCCCCTCGGGTGATATGGCGTTGTTCTTACTTTTCGAATGCCAGCAATCTTGCACAATTCTTGTATGATACGCGACTCAAAATCTGGTCCCTGGTCGCTATGTAGCTTTTCAGGGAAACCATAATGCACTAAAAAGTGTTCCCAAAGGCACTTAGCAACTGTCTGGGCCTTCTGATTTCGAGTGGGTATGGCGATGGCATATTTCGTAAAGTGGTCTGTTATTACTAAAATGTCCTTTGTATTGCTATTGTCAGGTTCTACAGATAGAAAATCCATACAGACCAACTCTAAAGGTCTGGTGGTTCGAATGTTTACCAATGGAGCTGCTTTCTGAACTGGAGATTTTCTTCTGACACAGCGTTCACATGTCCTAATTTTTGTCTCCACAGAGTTGGCCATCCGTGGCCAATAAAATCGTGAGCGTAGGAGGTTGAGAGTCCTCTCAACTCCTAAGTGGCCCATATCATCATGCAAACAGGTAAGAACCATTTCTCTGAGATTGCTAGGCAATGCCAACTGTCTCTGCACTTTCCCATGATCCATACGGTTTCTATATAGCAACCCATTTCTCATTTCAAACTTTTTCCATTCTTTGAGCCACAATACCATATCTGATGGTCTTCCTTTCAGACTGGGTGTTCCATTGTCAGACTCAAGACACTCAATAATCTCTCTTATCTCAGGGTCTTCTCTTTGTTTGCGCATCAAGTCATTCTCAGACAATGCAGAAATTGCAGGCAACCCATGTTCTGACTTCGGTAGACACACCTAAAGATTCAACCAAGGCTACAGAAGATGGCTGGTAAGCTTGATGTCTTTCGCAAATGGCTTTGATCACCTCTGGAAGCATAACCTGCTGTACATGTCTGGCGTCACTAAGATGGTTTAATGCAAACTGCTTTATGCGTTCCTGTTCTTTCTGAGTCTCTAAATCGTCAACAAGCTGAACATTTGGCTTTCGAGACAATCCGTCAGCGTCCTGATTTTGGGCACCTGCCCGATACTGGATTTTGAAGTTGAAAGTAGACAGACTAGACAACCACCTGTAACTAGTAGCGTCAAGCTTCGCTGAACTTAGGACATAAGTTAAGGGGTTTCTGTCTGTTACTACGGTGAATTCGCTTCCATATAGGTAGTCACTAAACTTAGTGGTGACTGCCCACTTCAAAGCTAGAAACTCCAGTTTGTGCGCTGGATACTTGGCTTCACTGCGAGTCAAACCACGACTGGCGTATGCGATGACCCTTAGGTGCCCCTCCTGCTCCTGATACAATGCAGCACCGAGCCCGATGGTACTAGCATCAGTGTGCAACAGGTAAGGTAACTTAGGATTAGCATAGCCTAAAACGGGCGCAGTTGTCAATCTTTCAATGATCGTCTCAAATGCATTTTGACATTCACTGGTCCATCTTTCCCCTATAGGCTCTTTTGGGTTGAGGTAGACTCGATTGGCCTGTTTACACACAGCTTTTCTCCTCACTGGAGGATATCCAGCCGTGAGATCATTCAGTGGTCTAACAATTTTCGAGAAGTCCTGTACAAATCTTCGGTAATAACCGGCAAATCCTAAAAAGGATTTCAACTCTCGTAAATTTTGTGGTTTTGGCCAGGTTTTTACAGCGTCAATTTTACTTGGATCAGTACTCACACCACTTTGGGACACAACATGACCAAGATATCGCACTGAAGTTTGAAAGAACTTGCACTTGTCAGGGGAAAGTTTTAAACCATACTCTTTTAACCGATTGAGAACTTGCATTAGACGACGTTCATGCTCCTCGAGAGAATCTGAGAATATGATTAAGTCATCAATGAAGACTAGAACTTCACTCCGGTTTAAACTTCCCATACACCGCTCCATTAGGCGCTGAAAAGTACTAGGCGCATTTGTTATCCCCTGGGGCATCCTGTTAAATTCCCAGAACCCCAGGGGACACACAAAGGCGGTCTTTTCCTTATCTCGCTCATCCATTTCTATCTGGTAGTATCCTGATTTCAGGTCGAGAACAGTGAACCATTTGGACCCTGAAAGCACAGAAAATGCTTCCTCAAGATTTGGAAGAGCATAGGCGTCCTTAATGGTCTGTGTGTTCAACTTCCTGAAATCGATACAAAGCCGAACAGAGTTATCCTTTTTTCTCACAACAACTATTGGAGAAGCGAATGGAGATTCAGACTCTCTTATTATACCGGCATCCAACAAGTCTTGCAAGTGCTTTCTAACTGCGCTGATATCATGGGGATGTATTGGTCTAGGTCTATGATTGAAAGGTGTTTCATCACTGAGTCTGATACGATGTTTCACCTTGTCTGTATGGCCATAGTCCATATCATGCAGGGCAAATACTTCTGGCATGGCATTTAGCAAATCAGATATCCTTTTTTTCCATTCTGTTGGCAAGGGTGAGTCACTAAAATCAAAATCAATCTGTTTTTTATTTGATTCATCAACAGGAATGGTCTTCTGAGGAATCTCCATCACTTGTTGTACAGAATACATTTCAGCTAGCACAGTCTTAGGTGAAATTGAAATGTCAGTTTGAGTTTCATTCCCTACTAGCACAGGAACACAAAATGAACGTTTGCTGGGCAGATGGTGCAATCCACTGGCTATAACAAGTCCACCTGGTAAGTTTGACACTTGAGATGGTCCAATGACTGCTAGGTTTTCAGAGAAAGAACTGTTCATCCGAACTAGTCCATTAACTACTGTTGTTCCACCAGCAGGCACCGTTTCAGCTTGGTCAACCTCTAGAGTCACACTTCCCAGAGTTTCTGCAGACCTCTGCTTATGCCTTGAATTTAGAATGTTAAGCACAGCACGATACCCATTGAAAGCTGGCTTGGGCTTGACATTTCTTTCTAGAACATGAACATCGTATAAGGCATCAAGAGAGTTTGTGCCTATTAATATTTGTCGAACTCCAACCAAATCAGGAATTACCAAAGCCAAAGTGTTGATTTCTGTTTCCACACCTAAGAATTCTTCTGGGAATATTAAAGTTAGGTCCACATACCCCAGATAGGGAACAGATCCTCCATTGGCTCCTTCCACTTGTAACAGAGCATTCAATGGCTTCACAGGTAAGTGTGCTAGGTACGTCTTGTGGAATGATGACGGAATCGTGGTCACTTGCGATCCCGTATCAAGTAGGCAATTCACCTGTATGCCCTGAATGTACAACTGGGCAGTGCACTTTGTCCCAATCAATCCTCTTGGCAATGTTCCTGATGTTACGTTCTTAGAGCGATCACACTGTTTAGGGCTTTTAAACTCAGTCCCAATCTCTGCATGCCCTACTCCAGAGATTGCCTGAAGTTTAACTGCTGTGACTTCACTTGGTTCTGCAAATCCCATTGAGATTGTTTCTCTCTCAGTAGTCGTCGCTTTCTATCTACTTGAGATGGATTTGGGTCATTCTCACAATTTATTACAACATGGCCTTCTTCACCACAGCG